GTGCGGAGCAATCTTCGCGTAAAAAGATCGGAGCGATTTTCAAATAATGACACGGATGGCGAGAAACCTTGTACAACAAGGAAACACGAAGCTTCCAACACGATTCAACTTGACTTTGAAATTGGTGTGTGTGTTTTTATATTGACATTTGCCAGCCATATGCGATGCTGAGCTATATGCACACGTCGGTGTCCCCTCAACAGTCCAAATCGGCGAGGAATTTCTTCGTCTTTGTCGATCAAAGGCACGAGGATGGACGCGCGGGGAATGGTCAAAAGCGCACCTCTTAAGGATGCTTCCCGTCTTAATCAAAGGCTTCATTCGCGAAAAATAAAAAGTTTAAGGAAATACTTTTTTTTTAAAAGAAACAATTGATTAGATCGCTTATAATAATAAATGAACGAGAGTATTATAAAGATTATTATCGATAATGAATACACGATTAGCTTACTAATCATTTCAAGCGATACAAAAGATTATTTTTAAGAATACGTTTTTCAAGTCAGTAATTTTTCGAGAAACAAACGGAGACCAGATAAAAAGAAAAGGGGATAAGTGCACTGGAAGTTTTTCAAAACTTGTCATGAAAGTATAATCGAGTTCTAAAACTTTCAGAAAGTGCAGTCAATAACTAAAAATTATAACAAAACTACAATCAAGTCCTAAAACTTTCAAAAAGTTCAGTCAAATCTTAAAACTTATTAAGTTAGTGCAATCAAATCCTGAAATTTATCATGTCAATGTAATCAAGCACTATAACTTGTTATCAATGTCAAGTTGGACATGGTTAATGAAAGGACTTGATTGCACCAACTTTACAAGTTTTAGGACTTGATTAATTTTTTTTTTAAGCTTTAGGACTCAATTGCACTTTCATGATAAATTTTAAGAAATTATGTGATAACCGATTTTATCCTTGCACTCTATGTGAAGCAATATACAATGAATGAACAATTTGTTTTTTTAGTTAGTGAAAATACAGAAAAATGCCCATTTAATGTTTTCTTTCTCTAGAAAAGAATTCATGTAACTTGTCCGATTAGAATTACGTTTTTTTACTGTTAATTTCTTATTTTGCATGAGGAATGAAAGTTAATCACGCACGACACACGATAACTATTTTAATATGATGTGTAATAAAAGCATTTAATACTCTGAAAGAAATACAAAGTCAACTTTTTTATACTTCATATTTTGGAAATGTCATTGTCTTAGTCGCAAAAGCAACCAACGCATTCGAGTCACTGGACAATACGGACTCCCACGCATAACCCACTCGATCGAAAGATTTAAGATGGACAAAAGCTATATACCAGGTGCCGCGAATAGGAGGAATTTGTGTTCAATAATGGCATGTCGTGCATTCATCGCAACTAATCAAATCCTGTCAATCCAAGAAAAGAAAGGGTTCGATGAGTCGACAAATGCAAACGGGCTTTTTTGGATGCACACCGAAAAAAGTTCACGATGCACTTGTGACCGATCCCAAGTGGTCTCTTGTCGCACATGCGATGATGCAAAGGGTTGCCCCTTGGAGATGCTAAAGAGCATGCCAAGATGCTCTTGCCTAAGACAACGGAAAGTCCCAAGGCATCGTCATCCATCCATCCATCAAAATCCAAAGCAGGGTCGTTCGTCAATTTAAGATGAATTCTTTTGTACTGCGTATTTATTTAATTACAAAAAATATATATTGTTTTAAAAAGTAATGTTTGCCAGATCCTCGGATCTTGTGGCGGCCCATCACACGTCGGCATCATGCTCTCCTCCTCCCTTGAATATTCTACTACCATTATCCGTAGGCGAATCAAAAGCTTGTCAAGCACGACGACGTAATCTCCAAGCTTTTAACTTTAGAAATAATGACACAAATGATCCTTGAATTTTAATTTAATGTGCAATATAATTTCTGAGTATTTAATTTATTCAATGTGATCACTGAACTTTAACTATATATGTAATTTGGTCCATGAACTTTTAATTTATTTAATGTGGTCCTTAGATTTTTTGTACATATTTAATGTAATCCCTAAATTATATGAAAATATTCAATGTTGTCCTTCCATTAATTCAAATTCAAGGTTAACATCGAATATTTTCATATAGTCTAGGAATCAAATTGAACATGTACCAAAAGTTCAGGGATTATATTAAATAAATTAAAAGTTTACGGACGACATTACACGTTTAGCTAAAAGTTCAATAATTATATTGAATAAATTAAAAGTTCAAATATCACGTTGTATATTGAATTTAAAGTTCAGGGACAGTTTGTATTATTTTTCCCTTAACTTTAAAACGAAGAGAGTGAACCGAAGAAAATGAAGATGGAGGAAGGAAAGATTGATTTGTACTTTATTGCTGTGAATGGGGGAGGAAACATAAACGTTTTGACTTTTGACCAATTCTCGTGTTTGCGTGAACGCGAATGCGAAAGAGCACTAGAAGGAACCCAAATGATGGGGAGGTAAGTAAGCGTAAATGTTTGGGCTTTTCCAGTACGTTTTCCTTGATCTCCTCAATTTGGAGGAAACCGACGACGACCGGACGCGGGTCGGGATGCAATTTTCCTCCAAGTTTCTTCCCCGATTTCAGATTAATCGAAAGTTAGGCCGTCAAAGAACTTGGAGCTCGGGTTAGGAAATTTGCCGAGGAATGCCTTTCTCGTGAACTGACTCAGCAAACGGATTAAACGTGAATCGAGGCTTTGACTTTGGAGAATAAGGGTCCGTTCGGTTTTCTATGGCTTTAAGTTTGGAGAATAAGGATCCATTCAGTTCGGTATTTTGATAGCCCCTTGAAAAAAATTTGAGGGTGTTTGGCAACCATTTCTAATGGGCTTTGGGCCTAATACTAGCATTGGGAAGACTGAAAGCTCGAGGTAGGTGAGGACCCGCTTTGAGCTTTCAGAATTTTCGGAACGCTAAAACAAGGGTTAAATGATATTTTTTTCCTTCCAAAATTACCCTCACCAATTTTTTAATTTTTCGATTTTGCCCCTCATTACTACTATTCATCTTCTTTGCGCGAGGGCGGCCAGTGAGGACCGACGAGGCCAGATCTGAGTGACGAGAGGCCGGTAGCCCAGGCAATCTCCGCCTAAGGTTGCGCATAGCTTAAGGTTGCACGACCCCAAGCTGCGCCAAGGGTCGCGCGACCTCGATCAATGGCGCCAAAGGCCTTTGCCAGCTCCGGCGAAGGGTTTGATTTCCTTTTAAAAAAAAATCGCTGCCAAAGTCCTTCGCAATTTTTTTTTTACTAAACAGTACTTAACTCGAAATTGCTTTACAAAGGATTTTTTACTAAACGCAATTTGCATTTTCCCAAAACCCTTTAAGCCCTTCAAGCTAAAGGCTTTTGCATTCCCCAAGGCCCATTTCCTAAGTCGAACCAAACGCAACCTAGCTCTCAAAAAAGAATCCTTGAGTCCAAACACAGGCTTGAGTTTTCTCTTGCCCGGCAACCCAACTTAAAAGCTGGCTTTTCTCCTACATGTTGTTTATCCGTGATCCTTGCGATTAGGTGACGTTGGAATTTCAAGGAAAAATTGTCAAATCAGTCCTAAACCTATTGTACGGCGGCCAATTCAGTCCTAAACCTTTTAATTTTGCCAATTTAGTCCTAAACCTTTTAAATTCTTGCCAATTGAGTCCTTCCGGCCAATTTTGGCCGGCCGGCGCTGACGTGGCCGCCGGCCGGCACCGGCCGTCCGGTCAACGCTGACGTGGCAATTTTTAATTATTTTTTTTCAATTTTTTAATCTTTTTTTTTCTTTTTCTTCTTTTTTTTTTTTCTGCTGTCTCCCCTCTGGCCAGTCCGGCGGTCGGCCGGAGGGGAGGGCCGGCGAGGCCTATGGCGAAGCTCGCCCTGCCGGCCACCAGCGAGGGTGAGCCGCGCCGGCCACCGGCGAGGGCGAGCCTCGCCGGCCCCGGCGAGGGCGAGGCGAGGTCGGCCTCGCCTTGCCGTCGCGACCCGGGCGACGGCGAGGCTCGACCTCGCCTTGCCGTCACGACCCAAGCGATGGCGAGGCGAGGCGAGGCGAGGCGAGGTCGAGCCTCGCCGTCGCCGGGTCGCGACGGCGAGGCAAGGCCGACCTCGCCTCTCCCAGCCAGGGGCCAGCGAGGCTCGCCCTCGCCGGGGCCGGCGGGGCGAGCTTCGCCAGAGGCCTCGCCGGCCCTCCCCTCTGGCCGACCGCCGGTCGTCGGACCGGCCAGAGGGGAGAAAGCAGAAAAAAAAAAATTAAAAAATTAAAAAATCGAAAAAAAACTAATTAAAAATTGCCACGTCAACGTTGACCGGACGGCCGGCCAAAATTGGCCGGAAGGACTCAATTGGCAAGAATTTAAAAGGTTTAGGACTGAATTGGCAAACTTAAAAGGTTTAGGACTGAATTGGCCGCCGTACAATAGGTTTAGGACTGATTTGATAATTTTCCCGAATTTCAAAGTCTCTTAGACATCAGAACGGCTCGAAGTATATCGCACTAGGCGACGGTCACTCGATGTTAGTATGATGTGAAAACGCACAGCAGGTCCAGCATCAAGCGAACTCTCTTGAGATCTTTCGCTTTTCACTGAAAGGGCAAATGTAACCACAACACGAGGTTAGTAATTCCGCATTACTTGTTAGCAACTTTCTAAACGTGCTAGCAAATGACGGACTAGGAAAAATCGTTGAATTAAGTAAACCGGAAGGTAGTCATGAGAATTTAAAAATGCTTGCAAAGGATCGTCATTCCCCATTTTAACTTCAGCATCTATCTAGTTCAGTGAATTCTCCGGCATACTCTGCTATTTTTGCCTGGTAACTGCTGAAGGCAGCAATCATAGGAAAGGATACAAGGAGGATTGAGAAACTATTGGTCGGCACTACTAAGATCTGAAGACCACCTGAGACAATTATTCTTACAAGATATGAGAACTTGTGCCATGGCACACTGCTCATAACTAGAATTGGGGGGAACCCACCACAAGCCAGGCAAAGGTTATTGTCAAATGGACTATCATCAAACCAGGGAAGCTCTACTTGATATCTTAGATTTCAAACAAGTTGCACCAAACCCAGAAGAGAGTGGCCAGATTTCAAGTTCTCAGAACCAGCAGCAAAAGTTTAACTCAATCATACAAATTACAACTTAAAGAATTCATAAGCTCAGAGCCTAATTTTACAGATAATCTTTTTCAATCTATCCAACATGATAAGGATTTTACTGCTTAGAACTTATGGTTAATTTAGGAGATTCTCTCCGGTTAAGAATCCGAATTTGACATCTGTACGTTGCTCCAGCACCGTGATTTCATCATCGCATTATGGTTGAGGTCATTGCAACGCTATCTTCAATCAATCTTGTGCTGAGAAAAGTCATGAACTGGTTACAAAATAATAGGTACATATCTTTAACTTACAACCAAGAGAAGGAAGATTACATTTCTCTCGTTGTTCAGTGACTTGTGAAGAGAAGCAATCAACCAAGAAAACAGCTATCCTAAAAACAAAAGCGAAAGCAAGCAAACCTCTAGCCTGTGAAGATACCTCGCCTGAACTAGAGCGCTGCTTCTTCAGAGCTTGACCTCAACATCAACTCCGGCAGGAAGGTCAAGTTGCATAAGAGAATCTATCGTTTGTGCAGTTGGATATAGAATATCAATAAGGCGCTGGTGGGTTCTAATCTCAAAATGGAACCTAGCGTCTTTGTGCACATGAGGTGACTTGAGCACACAGTACACTCTCTTCTTGGTTGGCAACGGCACGGGACCCATAGTTTTCGCATTCGTATTCCTAGCTGCATCCATTATCTGCTTGCAAGAGTCCTCTATTAAGGGCACCCAATAAGATCTAAGCTTTATTCTGATTTTCTGCTTCGGAGCCATCTGAGGAACATCAAAAGAAAATTATAATCTTGCAAACAAGGACAGTGGCAAACAACTATGCAATATACGTCTTCCACCAATGATAAGCACACCATCCAATTTTCACAGTAAGAGATGCACAAGATTTTATACTTTCTTCAATGCATGGCTTTCAGGGGCAAACATTTTGTTGCCATAAGATGCCAGGCTTTCGTAATAGTCGTAAGACGGGAAGAGTGGGGAGACTGAATCCTGAGCGTATGGATAGCGAGGGAAGGAGGAGGTCTAGTCATTTGGCTCTTAACATGAAATCACTAAGCTCCACACCCAAAATCTTCTCCTCAACGAAATACAAACAGCAGCAATGAGATATGAAAAAGATGCCCCTGTATTATTATCGACTCTTAAGCGTCAATGCCAAGAGAAAGGCCTAAACAAACTAGTATCGGATTCAAGGCAATATCCAGTTGGGTTGGCGTCTCCGAACCAAATTACTAACTTCTACATACTCAAATTGAAAGAAAGTGATACTCTCTCCTCGAACCAACGCTCTCTTTTATCCTTTCTCGGGATTTCCCACGAAAACAATGCCTGAAGTTCTCATACATCAAACAACGGCAATACTTCATCCACTCATCCTTCAATAAAAACCCATCACAACACCACGACAACCTTGAATACCACACAGATTCCAGTTCAAGAAAGCAATGCAATCGCTCTCTTCATTCTATTCCCCACGTCACGACCAAACAGGAACACAAACACGGCCTCAAAAAGATAAGAGAGCGAAACGAACCTCGACCGCGCCGGAATCGGGACCATCGAGGGTCTCCTGCGCGTCCAGAGCTTCGGGAGCTGCCGAGACGGTCGTCGCCCGCGAGCTCTTCAGAGCCTTGAGCTTCAACGCCGTCGCGGAGGGTACGGACGCGCAGGAGGGCTTGGGTTTCTGGCAAACCGCATGCGAATTGGGGACGGGCAGGGAAGAGAATAGGGTCGCGGAGATCGAAGACGAAGCCATTTCTCGAATCTGCGATGAGGGAGGGTATTCGGATGATATCTTCTTCTTCTTCTTCTTCGTTCTTCTTGCTCGGGCTCACCTTCGCTTCTCCCTTGCCACTGTGGCCAGTGTTATCCACACTTTCTGATGAGAGAGGAACATGAAGGTTCAACTCGAGATGGGCCATGGGCTCCATAAATAAGTGGGCTTACTCACCGGCCCAAAATGTATTTGCATTATGTTGATATGGGCTTGATCATTCGAGGTATAATATTTTAATTTTTTTTAAATATTATATAATAAAAAAGAGTTTCATCATATATATATATATTGAAAAAAATGCTCTATGTTCTCACAAAACAAAAGAAAATCATTTTTTTAATATTTATCCTTCTTTTTTTATCAGTTAATGATCTAGTCTTTTATAAATGTCATAAAATCAAGTCGGGTGATAATGTCGGGTTGGTTAACATAATGGAATTTCTTTCCAAGGGCTGGTTGATTTATCGTTTCCTTACGGGCCTTAGAAACTCTTCTTGAGTCAGCCTTACTCACATCGGACACTCATGAGAATGGGAAGAAGCTGAATTTGTGATTGTATTTTTGAGCGAATAGAAATGAGGGGAAGGGACCCATATTCATGCGAAAACTCCTATAATTACAATTGTTGACCTCAAATCCAATCTAATAGTGGAAATTGAAGAGAAATCTCCAGAATACAAGTTTCTCATTTTACCCTCAAAGAATTCTCTAGGATGTCTTTTTTTTTTTTTTTGGTAAGGTAAATTCTCTAGGATGTCATTGTATGTATTTTCCAATTCGTCCTCAAGAATATTCTAAAGTGCTCAAGCAAGGTCTTCGAGATTCATCAAGTTATCTTGGTAATTCCTCGCAATATATTGCTTCGAAAATCTCTGGATCATTTAGCATGACATCGCAGCATCACAGGCCAATGAGTTTTTCGTATTTTATTTGTAACAAGTACCGAAAACAATCGTAGTCATTCGATCGGTCGCTCGATATAACCGCGGTGCAGCAAAGCCTCCCACGGACGCTTCCGATCTCACCGCAAAGGCCGGTCTTTTTTCATCCATTTGGAAACGTAGGCATTAGATATCACAGCTGCGCTGAACTTGGGTGTGGAGCTCGCCATCTGATCCTAACCTAGAAGCTCAGATTCAATTTGCCTCAACACAACATAAACCTCCCAGTTTTAGTCGCATTTGAAATTCACTTCTGCGGATCTTCGCAGTTCCACCACCCAAAAGAAGCACATAACTGCTGTCTTTTCCACTCTCCCCCCCTAACTACTCGTCAACAAACCACTCTCTCCATTTTCACTATGCATTTTTAACTTCCCAATTCTTGAGCAGACCATTCCTTTTGAAATTCCCAAACTTCCATCGAGCACAACCCTCATGACTGGCCCCTTTGTTCCTACAAGTGATGATCAAACCATAACTGTCTGTTTCACTTTATTCGGTGCATGGTTTTCAAACACCAGCATCCCATCTTTGTACTTCCCCTCACCTTTTTGTATAATTTGATTGACCCAGCAACGCTTTTGCATGACATGCAATATGTTTCTTCTCTACGCTGGTCATAAACGTACGTTGGTGGCGGAACAGACACTTCACCTGCACGCTCCCATATTTATTGTACTCACCTGTTTCGCATTCCTTCTCCTTTTCAACTGAGGAAAACCGTGGAGACCCCTTGAAGTTCCTTTTAACGGGAAAAGAAAAATCAGAAACCTCGCAGATGAATGAGGATGTTTTAAAGTCTATGCTTTGGTGGGTTTAGAAACAAAACCGAATCTTGAAAGAACTTACAGTAATTCGCCAAGGGAAGCAGTTTCGAGACTCGGGGCGGATGACGATGGATCTGACGTCAGCTCTCTTAGGTGTTGTCATGATTCTGAGTGTTCTGAGTGAGGTTGACGTGATGTGCATCATGGCACAGAAGGATTTCATCAGTTGGGATGATATGAGAGTGAACGAGCATGAGTACAGAAACATGATCCGAGAGGAGTCGTATTCGAAAAAGGGTCAGTCTAATCGAAGCGGAGTGATCCTCGTCGACAAGAACGGCCGTGGCGATTCCATCACAGTTCAAGGAGCGGTCAACATGGTTCCAGATAACAACTCGCAGAGAGTGAAGATTCTCATTCTTGCAGGAACTTACAGGTTTGGACGTGTTCATTGCAATCACTTGTAATTCTCCATTGCGCCAACCCATGTGGGGAAAAAAGAAGCACCACGGTAGAATCTTGAAAGGCCTACACACATCCACTGCAAAAATCACATCTTTTCTGGTGAATTCATCGGTTTTTTCTTCTACTCCAGGTCATGCTTGAGCTTTTGCTTAGTTTTTGCTTTTCAATCAGTAACGGACGAATTACTTAATAAGTTGGCGGTTCGCGTGAGCACGATTAATTTTTTTCCTGAAAAAGAAAACAGCTGTTACGTGGGTGTTATGGGAAGTTACGTGGGACAATAGAACTCTCTCTCTCTCTCTCTCTCTCTCTCTCTCTCTCTCTCTCTCTCTCTCTCTCTCTCTCTCTCTCATGGTTAAGAATGAGCTTAGTATGGGGTGATCACGAGTGAATCAAGACCAAGACGTTACTGAGAATTTATGTTGTGTGCAGAGAGAAGGTTCATGTGCCAAGTTCCAAGCCATACATTTCCTTCATTGGAGATGAAGATCAAAACTCCAAAACCAGAATCACCTGGCATGACAAAGCTTCTGACAAGCAAGCCGATGGCTGTGAACTGGGAACCTACAGATCAGCCTCCGTGACTGTAGAATCTGATTTCTTCTGTGCATCTGGAATCACCTTCGAGGTAATAATCCCAAAAAAGGAATGGTAAAAATTAAAAGAAGAAAAAAATCAATTTTTGCGCATGTTTAACTCCTGCAAAAAGAAAGAGAGAGAGATAGAGAACTAGAACATGAACTTAATTTGGTGGTCGTGTGTTTGATGGGGTTGTGTGGTGACAGAATACAGTGGTTGCAGTCCCAGGGGGTTATGGAATGCAAGCAGTGGCTCTGAGAGTCTCAGGAGATAAAGCCATGTTCTACAGAGTCAGGGTGTTGGGGACGCAGGACACACTCCTAGATGACACTGGCTCCCATTACTTCTATCAGTGTTACATCCAGGGAAGTGTGGACTTCATCTTTGGCAGATCAACATCGCTTTATGAGGTATTATTTAGATTTTCAGGGAAATCTTGGGTATTTTTTTCCGCCTGTAGAGATAATGACTTCGGCGGGGTTCTTTTTTTCGCCGGATAGAATTCTAAGCTTGATTAAGATGTGCCAGGAGTGCGTCATTCACTCAACGGCGACGAATTTTGGGGCAATCGCAGCTCATCACAGGGATTCGCCGAGCGATGATTCGGGGTTTTCCTTTGTCAATTGTGTCATCAATGGAACCGGCAACATCTACTTGGGGAGAGCATGGGGAGACTATTCGAGAGCAGTGTACTCCTACTGTTACATGGATAACATCATAACTCCACCGGGATGGAGCGACTGGAACCACCCTTACAGGCAAAAGTAAATTTATCCTTCTCGAACATGTCGAAACAATTAAGGCCTTGAGTCAGTTTGAACTGAATGTTTCGAGGACTAATGATTCTAAGATGGGCTGTGTTTTTGGATAGGACCGTGGTGTTCGGGGAGTACCAGTGCAGAGGCAGAGGGGCTGACAAAAGTGGACGAGTGCCGTGGTCGAAAACTTTCAGTCACGAGGAAGCGAGACCATTCCTGGATAAGAAATTTATTCAAGGAGAGCGATGGCTTAGACTCTGAAATTCTTCAGGGCCTTCTTTCGAGCGTGTATCCTCGGGCAACACGGGCAATTTTGAGGAGTTCCTTCTCTCTTCCACATTCTGTTTATATGATTAGGTAGGTTAATGCTGATGTAAAGGTTAAGTGGGTGTGTGCTTCCGGTGGCCCAAGTGGTCACTGACCATATATATATACAGTGTAGTAGCCAAGATACCCTTAATGAAAGTTCTGATAAATTGTTCCTTCTCTTATCTTGGATTATAAGCGGAAGACATATTAAAAAGCGAACCAAACAGAACTGAGGAACTTACGTCTGCTAGAAAGGAATAAAAAGTCGGGCCCCAAAGAAAGGAATGAACCAACTAGCATCTTTCCACATGTAAGATTTTTGGACTCCGACTTCAGGTTATCTGCACAATAACTGATCAAGTGAAGTTTCGCTCCCCATGCTGAACTTATGGCAGAACGTCGATTGAACCAAAGGAGCACCTTAGGGCATGACCGAGTCTGTAAACCATCATACAAGTTTTCAGCAGTAGGAAGAAATTATGACTTGAAGATCAAGAGGTAACAACTTCTGGGACACAATATAGGTTATCATACATTGCGAACTAGCGCTAACAGAAGAACAGGCGTACTAATCGTGGATACACCCGCACGATACATTTCAAGGCCCCTCTACAAAAAAGGACCATCTGCCAAGATTCTATATCTAGACTTCGAAAACAATTAGTTGAAACTGAGACCTTGGTAATCCTAAACCCACTACCATACATACAGCTAGAGCAGCGATCGAGACACCAGTTAATATTTACAAAACTGGACATAATGATTCCGAGACTTTACACAAATGACACAGCTACTGCCAAATATTTCCTACGCCAAATGGAGTTCTCCATTATTCCCCTACGAAATGGCATCAAGTGTCATGCTGCCACTTCCATAATCTCCATCAGCTTACAATTTTGTGCAGAAGCTTCCGATGCATCCATATCCAGGGCATTGTCATCATCACTTCGCACTTCATCTTCCACATCGTCATCGTCAATGTCATCATTATCATCACTACCTCCGACATCACCTTCATGATTGCGAATGTCATTGGTTTTGTAGTAATCATCATCTTCATTGCTTTCATGTATTAATGGCGATGGATTCTTGTCATCAGCAGGGTCCACGTCTTCAGCAAGGCCATTAGAATCGGTTGTGGCACAGTTGAGTTTCCCTTCATCACCAATGACTTCAATGGCAGTAGTTGTGTCAGCATCTGACCCAGTAACATCATCACTCTTGACTTCTTTGATCATAGTTGGTGATGCTGAAAGCTTAGAATCCAGGGCAACAGCAGAAGTTATGGCTGAAAGAATATCCGGCTTAGCCTCGATATCAATCCATCTGTCCCCCACCCAATCTCTAGCAATCCGCAAATCCTTCATTTGCATACTCATGAATAAGTTTTCACCTGATACCACCAAGAATAACATTTTTTGTTCCGGTCATCAAGAATAAAATTAAAAGAAACAGAAATAGAAGCAGAGAACAGATCAATGCAAAGATACGAGACAGCACAAACTTATTATCATATTTCTTTTAACACACTTACCGGGAAAATAAATTTTCATATCATCATCTTCACAGTTATTGACCCTGATTACAACCCCTTCCCACCAGCCATCACTCCACCATGCATCCACTGCCACTCCAACATCAAGAGGTGATTTGGTTTGATCAACAGAATATGGAATCGGCCGGATTGTTAGGCGGCTTGAAACCCTCATCCCAAGCTTATCAGGAGCAGCAAATTTGACGGCAGGTATCCACTCCTACACCGGCAGTGCAAGCGTCAATTGCCAATTTAATGGAGAATAGAGTGAGTTTGCTAAACATGCGGGTAGAGGATGGGCTATGAGCATGGGTTATATTTGTCTTGTTCAAACACAACTAATTGAAAAAGGGAAAGGAAACATTTAAAAGGTTCACAGCATATAAAAAAAGAGCTTTTTCAATTAGTTTTGCTTAATTATGAACATTTCCATCTTAGGGTCTACAACATTTAAGATAATTCCACCTCGGAGTAAAAAATGAGCTTCTAATTCTAAATAAAATTAAATAATAACAGAGAGAACGTTGCGCTTAGAGAATTGAAAAAGTTAGTGTACCTCAAGATTGGCACTTCCATTGTCATCCTTCAAGTCATCATAACAGACTTTCAACTGCTTTCTGGTCACCTGCAAAATAGTACACCTGAACCAGCAGCCTCGGATGCCACTATCTTGGCATAGCAATTCGATCTTTTCACCAACTTTAAAACGTGGAGCCAAACGAGGCTGAGAGTTAACATGCTTAAGAGATAGCAACTTCCAAGCCAACAAACCATCATTTAATTTCTTATTTGCAGGTTCATATGTCAGATTGGCAAAATCTCCTCCAGATCTTTTTACTCCAGAATAAGCTGCAACACACCTCTTGTAACCTCTGCAACTTCTTGTCCTCTTACCACCCACCTTAACATCAGCACCTGAGGTTAAATCTTCATCTTCCTCCCCAGTCAGACCATTCCATGCTGTGTCTGGCTTTCGCAAAGGACTGGAAAGGAAACAAGAGAGAATGGGCTGATCGAAATAGCCCCTCAATTTGCTAAGATCAAATGATTTCACTTTGTTATTTCTAAACTGTCTGAAACATAGGTATATTTTGGATGATAATGCATGAGGAACCGCAGCCAAACACTTAGTGTAATGTTCGCGTGTCAGAACTGTAGCAGGACCATCAACACATTCTGCACTGACGACCTGTGCATAAGGCGTTATGAAAACTTCCTTGGGATGAGGATTTCGTATAGGTGTTACACCCTTGACTTCATCACTGTAGTGAAGCCACCTTATTTTGACCTTTTTCTGTCCCCTTCTGTCTTCATACATGTCTTCCAAATAAGCAAGATAGCGAGTCTCTCCCTTGCCCATGACAAATACAAACGAATGTATCTGACAACATAAAAAACATGTCAGGAGAAAATATAGCAGTAACAACACGAAAGAATTTGAGAAACATCAGGAAGCCCATGACTCAACAAAGATGTAGTTTCAACCGCGATGCACATCTCAAAGCAAATCTGAGCGGAGCAATAACATAAAAACTGATGAAACTTTACCGGTCACATATAGAGGTTGATACCTCTATGATTACACAGTGAAAAGTAGTATTCACATAAACACAGTGGCAGAACCAGGGGGGTTCTGGGAGGCAGCATTGCTGTCATCTGTCAGGACTTAGAAGTAATTCCCTTCTTCATAACATGTCCATTAATTTTGTGTCAAATGTTTTACTACGCCCGTCATTGGACATAAACATGATTCAATCCAGTAAATATAATGAAGCATGTATAAAGCGTGACTTCAACAAGCAAGAAACAACAATACTCATAACATTTCCATCTCAATGTGAAACATCCGATTCCCTCAAAGTAAAGAATGCCCACTTGAGGGGTCATTTTGTGCATATCAGAGATCAACCGAATAAGTTTTCCAGGTTTATCAGAATCTTGCAGAACTTTCTTGTCTCTCACATAGCAAAAGTGAAGTCTGACAACTGGAAGTTTGAAGAATGCATCAACTAACACGATAATAAAACTCCTGGTTACTTGCCTAGGTCCTCGTACCTATGAATTTATATACGTAACCTTGAGAGTTCATATTTCAGTAATTAGTGCTTACATCTATCGAAATCCCGTTCCGGCAGAAGGATGGGTAATGCTTCAGTTGTTTACCACATGTCCATGCAGTACCTGACCACACAATTTCTGAGGTATGCCCACCAAGTATGCTTGCCGGACGACCCTGAAAAGCTGATATTAAGCAAATATCACAGGCATAAAACACAGAAGACAGAAGGAAAAAGAAAATTGTACCTGGCAATCTGATACTTGAGCTAGTGACCTCTTCAGAGGAAACTCAAAATTTCTCAGAGCATGTGACTTATCAAGTTTAGGTGATCCTGCAAATGCAAAAAGATAGTTGAATAAGCTTATCATCACAATCTTCATGACGTACAGAGAACTTGGCATGCTAAATGCTTCATCTTGCGAGTACCAGCATATGCAACCATATGCAAACATTGACACTGTCCCTTTTGATTGTAGTATACAAGGTTGACATATCCAAAGGTCATTCTACTTCTAGCAATAACTTGCATCAAAGACACTAGCCAGAACTTTTGAATCATCAGCAGAATGCTATTATAAACTTAACTATGTGAACTCAATGCTGCGCCCAGGAGAGCTTACTCCCTTCGACAGATTCAATAATAGATTGGTAGTACCCGCAAGTTCCTTTCCAATTATGCACTTCCATGCAAGTCCAGCATGTGGCTATAATTTTTATAAGTAACAGATTAGCTTATGTGATAAATTAAAGGCAGGGATCTTGCCGGAGCACTTAATAGTGCATGTGCTTCAATCTACTCTACATATCCACTTCAAAGAGATGGTAGCGGAGGCACTTCAACAAACTATTCGCATAAAATATCGATGGCCCACCAGGCAAAGATTGCTTCAGATAAACTCCAGGATATGGAATTTCTGAATTCCGCAACTACGAAAACAACACCAACCTGTAAATCCTTGTGAAATTTTGCAAATTCTTTAGTTCCATGCACAATATCAGTACACTCTTCGAAAACCGAAACACAAGCAAAGACGTGACCTTCTAGCTTTGTACGCTGTATTATTGTTCTTTCTGAAGCATTTCATCGTTCGTCATGGTCTTTCTTTCATGATAGTGATACTACAAGCTGCAAGGGGAAAAGATAAGGTTTCATACGTACCACGGTGTTTTGATATCATAGATGTCAGCCAATCAACGACCTCTCTTCTCGATCTCCACTTGAAGCCGGCATGTATTGAACTTTGACTGCCAAAAGCTTCCACAAACTCGTCAGCAACAACATAGAACATATGCCTGACACTCCTCTCTGTTCCGACAACAGCAAGGATTGTTTCCCCAGCAGAATCCTTCAAAAAATAGTGAACCACACGGTTGCCACGCTCTAAGGAGACAAATTGCTCTTTCCACTCAACAAAATAACACCCTTCTCCGGACATTTTCGCCAAAACCACGGATGCAGTTCCAGCAACACCAAAACCTACTTTAAATACTCGTTACATAACTGAAAACGAAATCTGGCCTCGAGAGAGCGAAAACTCTCCGAAATGACTAGCCAACAGTGAGGACTATGATAATACAAATATAGGAAACCAGAAATCAGCAACTAAATTTTCCCGTGACATGACTCAATACAGCGAACGCCAATTCTGTGCCCCAGACCCAAGAACTCGCAAACTTACGAAGGGCACGGAACCTAGAGGAGTTCCGCAGATGAGGCACAAAAAGCAGATCAAGCCCTAATTACACGGCTTACGGTGGGGCGATCAAAGCGGGAAGAGGTCAAAGCGACCGACTTTCAGCCTTTTCCATGGATGAACAATTCCTGCTCTGAAGAGCTCTCGGAAGCTATCAGGAAGCAAGACATCACCATCGCCAGGCGGAAACGAAGGCCCGCGGGGGAGCAATTCTCAACTCCAACCGCAAAGCAGCCCCCACCCAACACAAAACCCGTGTTACCAAACCAGATCAACCAAAACCTCGCACGAAGCTACGCCCCCACAACGATCGGCGACCAGATCAGAGGACCCCCTCGCCCCAAAAGAGGGCCGCCCGGCTCGCAAGAACCCTCGAGCCAACACCGGCAACCGCCCAGGGGAAGCGAAGCGAACCGCGCGCCTCTGCCCAAAACGCCGGAAGGTGGGGCACAGGCCGCCGCCGAGGAGCGGGCCGGCGGGGCTCGAAGCAGCCGAGGGGACGGGGGGTGACTAGGGTCTTCTGGGAGGGTTGGAGCGGGGAGGTCAAACTGGGGAAGGGCGGCGCGTTCACACGGCGGCGCGCTCCGGGAGAGCAGCGAGGGGCAAGTGAAATGGAGATGGTTAGAGAGAGAAAGGGAGGGAGGCCGTACGGAGGTTCTAGAGAGAGAGAGAGAGGGGAGCCGAGAGATGTCGCAGAGGATGACGAAGAGCACTTGCGTAACAAACCATGGACATGGGGGAAGCGCAGAGAGAGAGAGAGAGAGGAGAGAGAGCCAATGGTGAAATGATGAGAGAGAAGGAGTGGGGAGGGTTGGGTTTGGTTGGTACTTGGTAGGACCGAAGAAGAAGAAGAAGAGGAGGAAGAAGAAAGAAAAAAAATGGCGAATGTGTGGAAATGAAATGTGGTGGATTGACCGCGGGCCCATGGGCCTGTACTCGGCCCAAACGGACACCGTTGATCATCCCGCAAGCCTGCGATGCTTAAATCGAGGGCCGGGAGACATGGGCCGGGTTTGGGCCGAAATCCTGACTTCCGGAATCGGGGTACGGGCTTAGCGGCCCATTTGGATCCTTTCTTGCGCGAGCGGTTTATCTAATAATGTGTACGTATACTATCTTAGAGCTCTACTGTGCGAGCCCTAAAAAGAGGCGTCTCTCGCGGATTTGGAAATTGTGTTTGAATTTTTCTGAACTGGGCTTTGTAATCGGATTGGGAAGATGCATACCCGTTCCGGAACTCGAAAAGGGTGCGGAAGGGCGACCACCATGCCGTGCCATCATCTCTTATGGGTATCGTTGCAAGAATGTCCGGATTGAGTCGTGATGACTCGAAACACCAGCAACTCAAAAGTCCGAGGACGGCGTACACTTCACCGCTTCACCTTAGCCCCAGTTGCACCTCGGAAATTAGGGATCCTCTCCTCATGAAGTATAAATGTTCAAGACGCGACTTGGCTAGAGATTAGCTCGCGAAATAGCTCGAACTTGTGTTCTTATCGAGGCGCGCGACTCTTCTGTCCTTGGCCTATCACGCTTGGCGGTGGGAACACCAGTATTCTTGCCTTAATTCCACGGCACCATGATTAGAAGAACCAACCATAAACCCAAGATATTTTCTCTCATTTCTAGACACTTCCTCCTTTCCTACAGGAAGCTAACACTCATTGGAAGCTGAGGGGTTTTAAAGATGAAAAGCGACTGGTCATGTGATCTAGATTCATCCTCTACATAATAAATACCATCCTACCAAGATTTTTTTCATCGCTGCATTCACTACCCATAACAAATGAAAAGGTTAGCATATTCGATAACCTTGTGGCCATTTCTCATCCAAGTATAGGGCCATTAAGAAGTCTATAAATACATACAGGCAACAACCCTCTTCGGCTTGCTCTGGCTTCGAGCCTTCTTTCTCTTTCAAATCCCTCTCTTTTTGAAAATTGGGTGACGTTTTTCTGCCTTCCTTTTGTTTTCTGGTGCACGGGAACTGTAAAGCAATGGCCTTCAAGTGGTTGCTCAGTTCAGCATTCATCCAAGTTCTGGGGATTGCAGAAGAAACTGTAGAGGAAAAAGAAAAGGGCAAGGCTAATAATGGATGCTCCAATGGAAGACGGACCCGTGATCAAGCCCAACGTAGCGGGAAGGCCGACAGCAAGGACAGAGCAGAAGAGCTTGCATCTGCAACGAGGTTCCAAATGCCTCTTCACTACCCGAGGTACACAAAAGCTGACTATGAGAAGATGGAGGAATGGAGACTCGATTTGCTCCTCCAAGAATATGGGATGAACTGTCAGTGTCAGGGCTCTCTTGATGAGAAGAGGGCATTCGCCATCGGCGCTTTCTTGTGGCCTGATCAGCGTTGACTCCCAAAAGACCGAACTTTACTGGTGCAAGAACTTGTACTGTCGCTCGAGTGATGTAAAAGACAAAACCTGTTGAAGAATTATGCAGTCTTGAGGTTAGTGTCGTGAAGTCATGTTGGCGAAATGAACAGTCGCCGTGATCAAAGGGATGTGGATACTTTTGGAAGATGAAACCACTATCGCCCTGGTCCTGATGGAGAGAGTCAGTTCCGTAATAATAGATAACTTTTTTTCCATGGATTTGCTATTTGTTTTTTTTTTATATGGATTTATTAACATAATTTCGAGTTTAAGGTGGAATGATCATTTCTATAATCCTCTGATATTATTCATTTTTCAAGTGTAGACTATCATGTCGTAGAGGATATTTCCATAATGTTATTCAACACAGATTTAATTAATATGTATATCATTAATTTGTTAAATATGAGCAACCACCTTATGTTGTGTTTTTGTATCCATTTATTGACAAAATATTCTGTTAAAAAGGGTATCCATGCAACTTTTTAATTGCAAAAATCATCACTTATTGTGCAGTCAGGGATGCCTTCTCTTTGCAATATACACGGTCATGTGATGAACCCTCTAAATATTGTACCTATTTTACTTTATATTAACTTTTTTGTAACGACAGGTATCCCTCCATCGTTAGATTCTCCTTAATTTAAAGCACTAATATAGATGTGCTAAAGTAATCTCGAAAATCGATTTGCTAAAGAGCAATATAGGATACATAAACAATTTGCCTAACAACCGGAGATTATGCTAAAGTGAAAAATAGAATCGATACGCACATAAACAATACACGCTTGAAGCTAAATAATGATACATAAGAAATAGAGATTTACTTAAAGTGCAAAATGGAATCGACATATACACGAAAAATATACTATTAGGGGTTAGAAATTTGCTCAAACGACCATCAAAAGCAAATTCGTTAGCTAAACCCCGTGCCCGAGCATGCCACGTACCTCAACCTCGCGGGTTTTAGATCCTATGCACTCGCCTGTTACCACGATCAACATTAATCCAAAGATACTTGACTTTCTGTTTTTTGGTCGATGAAAGATACTTAACTTCGTGTCGCTTGTTCATGCAAAAGGCCCTGAGCTAGAAACGTAGAACCCACGAGATATCATTCTAAATGATCATGAATCTGCTCAGATCTCTGTCGTGTCTTTTGATTGAACGGTACCCAACAAAGATAATTCTCGTTTGCTGACGTTCCGGATCGGCTACACAAATCCTTCGCGAGTCGACGCTCCTCGGTGCATCATCAACCGTCCCATCACCGCGGACCGCCACAGTTGACAGCGACAACGCGTCGAAGTCTCTACCACGTTCTGAAACGGGGTACCGTCATCTTCTTCTTCAGCTGCTCCTTTTTCGGTTTTCTTTTGCTTTTTATCTTGTGGGTGAAGGAGCTGAGAGAGCCGTTCCTGAATGCTCCCCTGTTTTCTCTGGTAAGCGTTAAAAGCATCTGGGTTTCGCCAAAATTCTTGCCTTTTTTTTTTGTTTTTTTCTTCTTGGAACTTGTTGGTGGATTTGAGGGTGAGTGACGTTTGGGTTCAGATCCACTTATTTCCTCTGGCGAAACTTGATTGCTAAGCAACTCTAATTTGGTTTCCTGCTGTAACAATTCTGATCTTGGGGTTCCCGGGTTGGGCAAAGAGAGGTGATCTTTTTTTTCTCTGCTATTGTTTTTTTCAAATGGGAGTGGATTGTGCAATTCTTGAAAATTATAATTAGAAACTGCGTGGTGAATTGGTCTGACTAGTTCTGTGGTAAAGAAATGGGATTCTCTGAATCTGTTCGTTCCGAAAATGATAAATTGCTTGGTGATAGCAGATCCCGGGGCTTCAGATTTTCATTTTCACACTGCACACGGTGCAGTCCGTTTACTGGCACTCTTATGCTATCTTGAGTACGCTAGCTTATGTGTTGACTGTCTTAGAAATCAAAAGGCTCTGTCTTTCTTCTAGACAAGAAAACTTCTCAACTGTGATCTGGTCTCTTTGGGTTGTTGAAAGCATGAATAGACTTGCCTCAAACATGATAGTTATTGAAGCATGAACAGTGCTCTGCTCATCGGTGGTGCTATTTTATATTGAACCATTGATAGTGATCTCTTCACTTGGCTTTGATTGAGGTCTTAAAAGTTTAGGCTTGTTTTGATATCTTCCAGGTGATCCTCTGTTGCGGAAGCCCCTCCATGGATGCTAATGGTGTGAAGCTTCCCTTACTGTCGAAGCCGCTTGATTCAACTCCAACAGATAAAAAGGAACCCAAGAGAAGGAGGTTTCGGCGCTGCAAAAGTGCTCCTCTTGCAGAGGGCATTCCTCGTGAAGCGAATCTCAATGGCTCAATCCAGTGTTCCGAGTCCGTACCAGGGTACCTCCACCCCAGTTTCAAAAGAGTTGCAATACTCTTGGCGCTCTACATAGGTTTTGGCACGGTGTGCTTCTACCTTGCGAAGAACGAGATCGATGGAGAAAAGACAAATGACATTCTTGATGCAGTTTATTTCTGTATTGTGACAATGACCACTGTTGGGTATGGAGACCTTGTGCCAGGCAGCGCTCTGACAAAACTACTTGCTTGTGCTTTTGTCTTCTCGGGGATGGCTCTTGTTGGCCTAATTCTGAGCAAAGCGGCAGATTACCTTGTAGAGAAGCAGGAAATCATGCTGTTCAAAGCCCTGCATTTGCATAACAAAGTTGGCCCCGCTGAAATGCTAAAAGAAATCGAAACCAACCGAGTGAGATACAAGTGTGTCACAGCCTTTATCCTTCTGCTGTTGCTCATAGTTGCTGGAACAGCTTTCCTAGTTCTAGTCGAGCACCTGGACATTGTTGACGCATTCTACTGTGTGTGTTCTACCATCACAACACTAGGATACGGAGATAAAAGTTTCTCAACCGAAGCAGGGCGTGTTTTTGCTGTGTTTTGGATACTAACAAGTACGATATGTGTGGCTCAGTTTTTCCTCTACATTGCTGAGCTAAACACGGAAAATAGACGGAGGGCATTGGTCAAATGGGTTCTCTCTAGGAGAATGACTCATGTAGATCTGGAGGCAGCTGATCTTGATGATGATGGGGTTGTCGAGTAAGTTCAATTTTTGCTTAATTGAACGCCAATATGGGGCATTTTGATAAATCCTTCATCTAATAGCCACAGGTTACCACGGGAGTCATTACCAACAGATTGGCAAAATTATGGTGGTCCTTATGTTTGCAATTATCTAGGTTTATACTAACGTTTGAAAAAAAAGGAAATTATTTCTTGAGGAAAAATTACCACTTCCGCTTTTCCACGCGCTGAATCATTTTAAATGCCCCAGTATTCTGTTTCTGTTGCAACTTGCTTGTTGATGGCTTCTATTTGTCTTTTATCTGCACTTATCATGAATGCGATTCTTGCTTTTCAGCGCTGCTGAGTTCATTATATATAAGCTCAAGGAAATGGGGAAGATTAGTCAAGAAGATATATCACTAATTTTGGAGGAGTTTGATGATCTTGATGTCGACCAATCAGGAACTTTGTCCGTTTCTGATACAACACTTGCCCAATCGTCCTAAGCGGAACGTGATTGCACCATACTTGAGCGATTAATGACTTCTACAGTTGTGTATATCATATTGGATTGTTGATGTTATGTGCATATGGTAGGTCCTTCAATTAGGGTTCTTCTTTCATGGTTTAGAAAAACTTCGCAACACTAGCTTTATCAGGAAAATGAGAGATTTGGCTCGGAGCTGTTCAAGATCCTACAGGCATCTCTCGTGTGACAATTTCCATCACTGAAAAGAGTGAGATGTTGATGATAATCTCTATTGCAGGAGTAGCATTTAATGGCATTTGAGTATGTTCTCTTAATAAAGTATACACCTCTCTCTTTATTATGTTGAGTAAGATGGTTGATTCAGCACTTTATATCTCCAATTTTGCCTGAATGTGCAAACTATGAGCAACAGCCACATCCTTCATTACACTTGAACTTTTCTGAAGATTCTCGGTCGGAATACAGTAAGAAATGTATATTCCCGTACTCCTGCAGGGCAGTAAGTCATAATGAATCTTTTTGTGCTCACGAAAGATTATCCTTCAGATTTCATTTGTTGTTGACGTATTGGATGTCGTAGATCAAGTATACAATTCCGTACAGCTGATGTGCTTCTTGTTTATACTAGAACACCAGACGTCCTCTGATGCAAATTGTGTCATTAATAACTGAAATCAACAGCATTTTGATGCAATATTACGTCCTCTTGATTCTCGAGTTCATGATGCTTCAAAAGTGGAATTATACAATAACTACTAAGTGGACTTTGGACATAAACAATCAGGTGGTCTCAACGTCTTGAAATTTTATCTGAGACATGCTGAGGCCATAAAAAGATCACCGAACCTGAGTGCATCCACTGTAGATGATTACGCGAACAGACCCGTATTTTCAATTAACTGACTTTCAAACTAATGAGTGACAAGCTTTGGGTGTTCAGTTCAACCGAAGTTCGATATCATCGAGATCGCTAAACGTTATTGTCCATCTAACTCGTGCTCACGATTATGATTGCAGGTAAAGCACGGGAGTATGATTAGGCGGGCTATAGGATGTGTCGATAAGTCTTTAAAGCAAATCCAGACACCATGATTCTCCATCCTTAAGGGAAGCACCATGATTGCTTCATTAGTCAAAAGCTCTTTTGGCACGTGTTTAAGAGCAATGCCCAGTTTCTGAATCGACTATTTCCTGTGAAATCGAGTGAAAAGGAAAAAGATTGTAGCTCAGCTCTCTCAGAACTCAGAAGCTCTGCTTCTGGCCTTTGCAAGTTTCTTCCTTATTGAAAAGAAAGCTTCCCTCTCTCTGTTCCAGGACCATTTTTTGTCTTTCGTTTCCTGGAAAGGGGAAATCTCAACTGGTAGCCAAAGTTTGGGGACAGTTTGGCAGATAATTATCATTCCAGACTCTCTTCCCTTCTTCATAGCTGATCTGTTACTTTCAGCCTGAGGCATGTAGAACTTACCTTTTTTTTGCTGCTACCTTTTTATAGATGCCAATATAGTCCCCACCATATTGTCCATCGTTACTTCCTTTTTTTCTTCTCTGCCAGGATGAGAAAGCTAGCAGAGAAGCAAATTTGTGCCCTCCTTCCCGTCAAAACACCAAAATTCAACATTAGAGTGATTGTTGCTTCTCTAGTTTTTGCCGGTTTTACGAGCTCTGGTTTCGTTCCTCTTCCAGTCAAGATTCCACTCTTGGCACTCTCAGCCGTCTTCTTTGTCACATCTTTCCTGAAGAAGAAGAAAGCTGTGGACGAAAGTGCCGCCGGACATAAAAATCTGGAGCTTCACCACATAGGTACTGTTGACAAGCACTTCCAACAAAAAACCCAACAGGTAGCGGAATCGGAGGGAGAAAGAAGTGCTGCCCAGATGGTTAAAATCCGGAAAGGATCGCTGGATTTTCCAGCAGGCGGTGAAAGTGGTGATGAGTTGATAGAAAGTGAAACTTTCGAGCTACATTTCATCAGTTCTGATAACGGAAGTTGCAGCCCACTGGTTTGTTCAAGCGATGACGATGACAAGGACGACGGCAGCCTCATTGAGATCTCTCTACCAACTAACGTTTGCTTGGCCGATCTCTCGCCAAAGTCCATTGGTGAGAAGCAGGAAGTGACAGAGACTTTGACAGACGACGAAATCAATGAGGAAGACAACTTAATAGAACTAGACATATCCATGGGATCCATCAGGTGCTCGAAGTTTGAGATTTGAGGCATAGGCCATGCAAGTATGATCAAATATGTACAAGGATGCTCGATTTTACACTACACTGATCATCAAAATTCTATCTCGGCTTGGAGTCCTAATACAGCAATAAGTTTTTTGCCATGACACGGAATGTAATTGCATATTTAAGAAGTTAGCATTTATGTTTAGTTGTTTTATGCAATGTTTTGTTGAGAGAGTTCCGCTCCATTAGAAAAGAATGACGTCTTCTAGCCAAGCAACTATAAATGGGCTAAAGTTGCCCAATGTGTGCCTACTTTATCAAGAACAAGGGAAAAAAAGAGGTCAACAAGAAGAGAACAAAAAGGAATAGAGGCAAAGCTGAACCGTGCGCCTATTTGCAATCGGTTATTAGGAAAAGAAGTGGCCATTCCAAGGGACTATTGGCACAAGCATGACATCGGATAATGAAACGAATAGGATTTAGCCTGAAAAGGGGATAGAAATGGTTAAATGAACATCTTGAAAGTAATGAATGAATGTGTAGCTAAATCATCCACGAGGAGAGTCTAATATTCTAACATCTTGGCATCAGTTTTGCAAAATTTGAGCATCTCAGACATGCTCATGCTTCTTGGGCATTTTGCAACAAGGTACCGAACTCTATTTGTCAAACTCAACATCAACATGCAACTCAAAAGGAGAAGGGAAAAAACCATCCAGTTGGACTCATTACAGTCAAACATGTGCCCAAGAAAACATTCAATATAATTCCAGTTTCCAGCCACAGAAAACATTCAATATAACACCCGATCCAGCAATTCATTCACCAAAATCGGAGTGGAGGACAAAGCAATGACGCAAAAGCTACCACTAACATCAGTTTACAGGCTAAAATACGCCATGCAGAATTTCACAGAAAACTCATAATTTCGGTTAAAATCTGCAACCAGTTACCGTACTTGAGCAGATAGGAAGGAAAGGGGAGACAGACAGGAGCAAAAGTGTTGCAAAAGATGAGAATTGTGATTGACTAGAAATAGATATTTACAAGGTGATAAGACATGTACAATTCACATGGGCTAATCAACTACCGTATAGTTAGGTTCTCTACAGTCTACAAAAAACACATCGTGTGGTCAACAATGGTGATACAGTCGGGGGAAAAAGAGGCCGTAAAAAATGATACAGAAAAATAGCCAATCAAGGACAGAACATGAGCGAAACATCCTCAACTAAATCCTATTACATCACGATTCAAATGATAGTTCTACGATAATCTACAACATCTATGACTTCAGCAATGTCAAGCCATAACATCATCCACAAAGTCGGTTGCTCAAGCTAATCAACTCAAAAACATAAATTCAAAGGTCTTTCAAACTTAAAACGGAAGTTCCACTCCTAACATCCATGGGAAAACGCCATGCATTATCCCTCTCATATAAGATAGTCATAAAGGTCTTCACCATCTCCAAGTAGTCCATAGTACTGCCGTAGAGCTTCAAGTCTTGGTATTGACCCTTCTTTAGCTATGGAAAAAAAAAATGAGCCAAGCAACATTTGCATAAGAAATAAGTACTTGATGAGAAAAATAGAAATCCAAACAAGTACAGAAGAAGGCAAATTGATCAGAAAAAGTTAGCAATGCCACCCAATGCTGATGTGTCCATCAAAGTTACAGTCGGTTTCATGACTTTCTGTTTATGGCCCATGCAATAGAGACATTAGAATCTGAATATAAAGTGCCTATCTGAAATGTTCATGAAAACCTGTTAAAAAATCTCTGTAATCGAACATGGCAGTTTTCAGTTGTTTACGTGCAAAAGTAAATTTTGGACATTCTAACAGGATGATCATTTTTAGTTTTCTCATTGAAAAAACTAGACCGAATGCTTGTATTTGATTGCTCAGTATTTTATTCAATTAACAAAAGCAAAATAACTGAAAAGATCATTTCCTTTTTCAGAATCAGGCACCATTTCTTGAAACAACATTTAAAAACCACAAACAACTAAAAGAACAGCTCGACATGCAAGTCCCACTGTTCAGTGTTCTCTATCATTAGAAACAGAATGTAGCTTCTATAACATCCTTAAGAACAAAACCAGAGCTTCAAAATTTATTCAACCTTGAACTGACGACTGGATTGGGGCTTGGCTGCGCTAAATATTTGCACAGGCCAAGAAATCGTTTCAGTTAAAAAGCATTGGATGAATACTCGAAGCAAATGAAACTCAGAAAGCGCAGTGTATATCTAGGCAGAGAACTTTCCGTTGTAGAATAAAAAAAAATTTAAGATGATCGAAATACTTGAACCGGTCTGATTTAATTTGAGGGCGAGAAAAAAACGAGTTTATAGTGATGAATAAGCGAAAGGACCCTGAGTGAAGGTATGAGAATGCAGACATGATGTAACCTCAACTACGTGTTACAAAAACCACAACAAAACTAGCGGTAAATAAAGAGTTTCCAGAAAGAAAAATGCTGCGTGATATGTTCCAATCTAACTATTAAGAATTTCAACAGCAAACACTCCTCGCAAACAGAGTTGCACTACATTGTTTCACTAACATATGCAACTAAGCCATAAGAACTGAGATCGTTTCTCACTAGTTCAAGAATTCATTACCCTAGGCATACCACCACCAACTAACTTTACACCATCAACTATCCACATCAAAATTAAAGAATCATATCTGCAAGAATCTATATTTCTTTAAAAGATGGCATAACTACAAAATTAATTTTACGAACTGCGTCGAGGTTCGATCTTTAATACAAAACAAATATCAGGCATACGAAATGGAAAGAAAGGATGGCATGATACCCCAGAGAGCCAACTAATTCTAATTTTGTTGTCAGAATACAAATGCTTTCAGTATACACCAACTGTAAATTATTGTTGACAACACACATGCAAGCACGAAAGCACACATATCCAAGCACACAAGTGACGTGTTTAATAGAGGATCAAACAAGTCTAATGGTCAAAAAATTCGGGAAGCAATACATAATCACGAGATGTAATGCCAGTAGTCAGAGGACGATGCAGTAAAAATATAAATAGTTGAAAATGGTATGGAAAAATGCCGAATAAAACTTGTAAATCTCATCCAAGGGCTTAAATCTAAAAAATGATTCTGATGTACGAAACAAACCACCATACCATTCTGATGTAGGAAACAAACCGCCATACCAGTCAAAGACACACAAGGTTAAGAGCAGAGTAGATGCACTGTCAACGTATGTGAGTAACAAACAAAAGCTCTATGCAAATTCTCTACAACCACCAGCAGGCACTGAATAGATTACTCAATATGAAAATAAGTCACAAGAACAGATTATAATTACTCTATAGCATTGAAGCATGCTGAAAATGATGAAACGACTAGAACTACAGAGGGAACACTTCAATAGCCTCTAGATGGAATGAAGCATGTCATAGCAAATGAACAAAGAGAAGACCGCTTTCAGAATATTGGAACTTTAAAATACTATTAAGTCACTCAACTTCCAAAAATAATACTATTCCCAAGAAAAAATGTATCGTCTCACTTAAATGCAAAAGTCGCGTGATTAGCCTATCTGTAAGAATCTTTAAGCTCAAAGAGAAAATATCACAAGCAATAAACTGCAAAGAATGCACACACAAACATGGAAGAACTTACAAATAAACAGGATATCTGAAACTAGAAGAGAATGTTTGGATACTTACTTTGTTTAAGGCAGGAAAAACCATGCCCCACACAAGAAGAGGCCATCAAGAACTTAAATGCCCCATTTACAGGACCACTGTCCAATAGATGAAGAACCCACAAAAGCAGCAGAAGACGAACTGGATAGGCATGCATCTCTCTGTTTTGTTTCTTCCCATTCTCAATGGGAACAAGAACAGAGAAATTATTCGGAGGTAAGGCGACGCCTCTTTCCATAATCAGCATCCCTTGATTTTGAGCGATGGTCCTCCTCTTGCAATACTCTGGACTTGCTATGAGTTCTTGAGGACCGTCCTCTTTCATACTCATCATCATGCTCTGCCTCGCGGTCCCTGTACCGATAATGATCCGCATATCTGTCTCTGTCCTCCCTGTACCGATCCCGTTCTCGGTCCCTGTCCCTTTCCCGGTCCCTCTCCCTATCTCTTTCACGATCACGATCACGGGAACGTTCCCTGTCCCTATCACCACGTTCTCTGTCACGTTCTCTACTGATATCTCTATCCTCACGGGGCCTCCTCTCTGACCACTCATTATCATGAGCCACATCCTTCTCTCTAGGCATTTCTCTTTCATAACCCGATTCTCTATCATCACGGTATCTTCTGTCAGAAGAACCTGACCAGTCCCTCTCAAAACTCCTGTCCTTTTCCTTGTTGGGTGGCCAACCCCCTCTATCATGACTCACCTCACCGTACTGATGATCAGAAGCAGCTTCTTCCCCATAACTGGACTCACCTGCTCGACCCCCACCATGATCGTCACCGCCCCATCCACCCATATTAGGATCAGACCACATGCCCATGTTAGGTCCCTCAACACCAGATGTGGGCATCATCCCCATTGCATTCATCGGCATCCCTCTCCCAAAAAATGCAGGATTCACATGAGGAGCTACTCCAGGTAAGCCGACACCTCCCATAGGTCCACCAGGGAATGAAGGCATTATACCAGAAAATGGAGGAGTAGGCGCACCAGGAAAGCCACCATAGCTCCCCATCCTACCCATCGGTCCACCAAAAGTTGGATCAAAACCCTGACCCATCATCGACTGAGGGTGTAATAATGGAGGGGTACCGCCAATACCCTGGCCAAAACCATTGCCCCCATTACCCATGATGCCTCTCCCGCCCACTCCAGCACCCCTGTTTCTCATTGGACCAACAGGACCCCTATTTCCCATTCCTGCATTACCCCTGCCCCAATTTCCTCTCCCAAATCCTCTGTTATTATCACCACCTTGATAGTTGCCACCAGTGGTAATATTATTTCCTCCGGTCTTCGCTGCGGGTTCATTGGGCCCTCGTCTGGCCTGTGAAAGTGCAGCCTGAGCCATTTGTTGATTCCTATTTACTTGAGCTTCTCCCATTCTCTTAACACTATAAGGCGATGCAAAAGCAACTACACATGGTCTACCATTGAAAACATGCCCATTCATGCCTTCCTTACAGGATGTTGCAGCTGTTGGGTCGTAAAACTCAACCTGGCAATACCCTTTGGACTTTCCACTTGCTTTCTCATCAAAAAATTTGACCTCCTTCACTGGCCCATATTTGCACAGCTCTCCCTCCAGCTCAGCATCTGTTGTCCACCAATGCAAATCCCCCACAAACAGTATCGTTCCTCCACCTCCCCCTGCACCTCCACCCGAATTAGCTCCAACACCAGCACTGGCAACAGCAACAGTAACAGCAACGGCACCCGCAGACACGTTATTGACACCCGGATTCACCATCCCATTTCCACCAACACCTTTCACAGCTCCTCCTCCACTTTGCCTAGCTAAAACCTCATTTCCAATACTAGGAATGCTACCGACATTGGCAACATTACCTACACCGCCAGCATGTGCCTGCTGTCCAATCCCTTGAGGCCCTACGTCACTTCTACTTCCACTCTGTACCTCCATTTCGTTAACCTTACTAGACCCCGGCCCTAATTCAACCCTAAGCCCTCCGCTCCGCTGTTGTCCAACCACCAGCCCCGATCCACTCGGTCCCTTCATTTCATTTCCTCTAAAACCCTGGCTTTGATACCCCGAAACCCTAGAATCTCCTCCGCCATCGACAACCACCCCGCCGACACTCCCGCTCTCGCCGCCCCCGACACCGGGTATCGAAACGCCCTGAACAGAATCGGGCGCGACCATCGGAGGCTCGATCTTCTTCTCCTCCGCGACATCGCTTCTAAACCCTAAATCCTCGTTCTTCCGCATGGTCTGGAGGAAATTCTCCCCGACGTTCACGTCGTTGTACAAATCCTCGTAATCATCATCCTCCTCGACTAGGAACCCGTCGTCGGCGACCGCGGAGATCGCCTCGTTGCGGTGGAACTGATCCATCTGATCCCCACCCTCCCCGTACCCTCCCTCCCCTTCCTCCATCCTCTTTCTCTCTCCTAGGGTTTAGCGCTCCGGCGAGAGAGAGAGAGAGAGGAAGCGATCCCGCTCTACCCGAACGAAATTCCTCAGGAAACGACCAGCGACATGTGCGATCGAAGGGACAGCGAAGCGCGGAATCGACGAGGGGGTTTCCCGATCTTACCAGTGAGGAGAAAGTGCTGCGCCCTTGCGCCTGTGGAACAGTAGAGAGAGAGAGAGAGAGAGAGAGAGGGAGGGAGATAGAGAGAGAAGGAAACCCTAATCCTCCTGATCTGGAAGCTCGTGCCCGTGGGAGAGAGAGAGGGAGGGAGGTCGGCTAGGAGCTGAGAAATTTCTGGCCTTTTTGCTAATTTTCTTTGCTTTGTTGGTGTGGGAGTGCGGGTGAATGCTAACGTGAGCCCGGTGCGTGCCAGTGTTGCGCATTCGCTAACAGCACATTTTGCGTGCTTTGGATGAGTTGACCAAAACGCAAACCCGCAAATGGAATTAACATGTTCACAATTTTTTTGACTCTTTAAATAGGTTAATTTTTTTACCCAAAAAAAGAACTGTAGTAAAATCTTGTTTTGTAACAAAAGATTAGGTTACGAATGATTGCCATTCTATTTTATAAATTAATTTCTGATTTTTTTCTATTTTTGTTTCTGGACGAGTTTCTAAGAAAAAAACACGTTTGATAACGACACAAAATTTTGTTTGATAATGGTACAAAATTTCTTCTCTCGGGTGATCGACAAGTGGACGATGGGCGGATGACGGCAGCGGCAGACGGTGGTAGCGAACAACAGGCGGTGGACGTGGGGGAGGCGGCGGCGGACGGCGACACAACCAGTGCGGACGACGGCGATTGGAGGTGGCCGACGTTGGGCAGCAACGAGAGGCAGGCGATGGTCGATGGCGGGAGGCAGCGAGAGGAGGGCAGCCGGCGGCGGAAGACGGTGACCGGCGGATGGTGACCCATGGCGGCCATCGGCAGGAGAAGGCGATCGGTGAGAGGCATCGGCCGGCAAGTAGGCGGCGTCGGGCGGTGAGTGGGCGACTGGCTAGTAACGAAGGTGAGCAATAAAAAGAATTTCTCATTTTTGTTCCAGAAATAGAAAAGTAGAAAATTTTACTTCTCATTTCTATTCCAAACCTATTTCTGAAAACAAAATTTGTTCTAGAAATTGAAAAATAAAATTTCGTTACCAAACGGATTTCTGTTACAAACTTGTTTCTGAAACAGAAAAATAGAAACGGAATAGTTATTATTCGCAGCCTTAAATAGCACTATTGAGAGATTCATATCCAAAACTCTCAAATTGGATTGAATATAGGCTGATTGGGTTACAAGAGAATCATACAAGGTCTTAGGAATAAGGGTCAAAAGCTATGTCCCGATATCTCTCTCTCCTTTTTTATGATCTTGCCATGCATCTCTTCTATCCAAATCCAGTGTATTGACTCTATCCATACCGATCATAGTGATTTTGTTGCGTGATCGTGCCGAGCCCGAGTTCAAGTGGAAGCCAAAATGATCAAGTCGTTGAATGATGAGGTGGTTGAGAGTGCTAACTATTCGTTTCTATTTTTATTATTGACACGAGATGCCGTTTTGTTAACAATCTCCCGCTTTCATCAAAGGGGCTCTTTGCGAAATGTCGAGATAATGCATAAGGTCATGCACATAATGCATAAGGTCAATGTGCATGTGAATGAAAAATTTGCATAACTGAAGGAAAAGCTTCTTAAACTCAAAGTCAATTGACACAACCCAAGGGAGCGAAGGGCTCCGAGCCTGTCCGTAAAAGAGAAATTGCCCCTTACGTGCATGAGACGTGGCCCCTTACGTGCATGAGACGTGGCCCATCCGTGCATGGGACATGGCCCATGCAGGTCTAGGTGTGAACATCATTCGTGACCCTTCAGTTGCTTCTAACACATGACCCTGCAGCTTCCCTTGGCAAGCGTCCCTTGAGCTTCCCCACGCCCTTAGGGCCCCAGCAACTTCTTGAGTAGCCATGTAATGATTATATCGATTCAAACATCACCGTTAGATCATGAAGGGATCAACGGATCATATTAGACCCGGACCTGTATATATAGGGGACCCTCCCCCTTCATTTGTACATGCTCTTTCTTGCAAGAAATTTAACTACTCAGCTTTCTCTCCATTCTTGTGAGTTCGAGTGTGTGTGTGCAAGGCTGACTTGGGAGTAATCCTAAAGCCGCACGGGTGTGGGATCGTTGTTAATCGACCGATCCGTGGCACAATGCTATAATTGTGGTTTTGACATAGTTGCCGCGTGCTGTAAAATGCCATGGCTTGTTATTTGATAATATATGTTTTAGAGAGGCAACACCTCGAAATACGATGAGATGGCTTCCTATAAATTGCTGATAGCTACTCCATATTCGAGAGTGCTGCAGCGCATGATGAGTTTGCCAAACACATCATGAACGTTGCAAATAACAGTAATCGTTTAAAAATTGCAGTCGTTGCAGAAAAGGTGTCTCGGCGTGCTTTTCAATGCATGGTAAGTTATGTTGTCGTTCTCTCCTATAAGCTTATTTTGCTGCTTTATAAGCTATAGGTAAATGACAAACAATGCTCGTCTATATTTGCGTTAGAGGTGATCAATGGAGAGACTCGAGTTAAGCTCTTGAATTGAGCCTCATTTGTTGTTCAAGCCCACTCAAAGGACAAATGACGAATAAATGCTTCCCGCGTGTCATATGCACAAGTCTCTATATATATAGTAAGGTTGAGCAATCGAACAATTCAATCAGGAACTGAACCGAACAAACCTTATCCGACCGGTTCTAGGTTGGTTCATACGAAGACGGTTCAGTTCCCAGTTCTCGAGTAAAGTGTTTCAAAATCGACACTAAATATTTTATGTTTAAAACAATTTCTACTTGTAAAGTATTTTATTTGATCTTGTGTTTATTTTTACGTCAATTTTATATATTTACAAGTACAACATAAATATACTTAATTTACTAAAAAAAAGGGCAAAAAGCAGACCGGTTCCTCAGTCAACCCTGGATTCAACCGATTCGATAGTAGGCCAGCTTCAGGGTGGACTGGTTCGGTTCCCGATTCTAAAAAACCAAGAAACGACTTCGACATCATAGATTTTAAGTTCTTGGTCCGAAATTCACTCATCTTGGACCCGATCACTCCTTCCATGCGAGGCGACGACTTTCAAACACACACAATAGACTGGCTTGCCACGCAGCACGCATCGGTCATGCCATGGAAGATTTGGGCGAGAACGAAAAGCAAAACGTGAGCAAAGGCTCGACCAAAATAGATCCCTTCACTAAAGATCCCATTAACCCTTTCAAGATTCGCGAAGCAAGAGTGGGCCATCGCTGGTCAACCTCGGGCAATCTTAACCTCAAAAGTCCAGTCCACAACACCAAGGGCCTTAGGCCCAGATCAATTGGGCCTCGGGCCCATATTATTTGGGCCTTACCCCAGCTGGTGGCATCTGGCACGTGGATGAGGCCCATAACAATTCGAGCCCAAGAGCAAGAAACTGGCCTCCAATGTGCGTGCCAAATTATTAACCTCGACATGGTCCCACGTGGACCTTCGGACAATTGACTGGTCCAGATTAACGTTTCTTCCCCTGGCGCGTAGTACCGCCCTTGTCCTTTCGCGGTCTTCTTTTAACCGCACCGCGAATCATCCCCTCCGTGACTCTATTACACACAGGGTAATAATTCTCTTATACACAAACTGGCCACTGATTCTCTTCCCGCATGACTCGTACTTGTGGTATCGGGAAAGACGGATGAGTAGTAATAGTACGAAATCACCTAGTCATTTTCAAGGGTACTCATCGTCTTCTTCGACCTTTAGCCGTGAAGAGGGTTTAAGTTAATCTCACCCTCCATTCTCTTTTTTGTTGATTTTGTTAGAGTTTTCTTGTTGTTTTCTTATTTTTTCTTTCCCCCCAATCTAGATTCGAGAGTTCTTTTTTCCTGACTTAGTTCTAGATATGAGACTATGAACTTTCCCGATCTAATTTTAGGCATAAGATCTATCTTATTCCGATTTAGATCCAATAGTTCAATAATCTTTTTTGGGAATTCGATACTTATGTGTTTTGTCCGTGTATAGGTCCTCCGCCTCCAATCTTAAAGGTGATTGCACGAGCTCTAGCGTCTTGCTAACCTATAAAAATTTGCTCTTCCAAATTTGATTGTTTTTGTACGACAATGGTGTAGAGGAAGCCGAACCTTGATACGCACAACGCCAAAGTTATTGGAGAAGATATTGCCAAACCTTGATACGCACCGCCAATTTACAACCCCACGGTTATTGGAGAAGATATTGCCGAACCTAGATGGGCATCGCCAATTTGCAATGCCACAGTTACCGAAGAAGATATTTTTGTCCATGCCACTGACCATAATACAATATCCAGCGATTGGTCGTCGATTATTTTGCTTGACAGATTCATATCTATAAAACGAGTATATGCTTAATCCTGCCGGTGCTCTATCGATTTATAGATTTGACTTTGTTATGTAGTATTCTGGCCTTTACTCTATTTCGATTCGCTTTGCTACGAAAGTTTATATATTTGTCATGTATATATTTTTTAGCACACTTTACAATTTTCTTCCGATAAAAAAATAAATAAAAGTGGACAATGCGGCACGATTCACGAGCGTCGACACTGGTCATAAGATTACTTTTATTTTGCCGCTAGATTGACCAGCAGAGGAACCATAGGATCCTCTTCCCGTGATCAAACAAAACGACACGCGTTCACATGCCCCCGTCTTTCCTCCTTATCGACCAACACCTGTCCGTTCTCTATTCTTCGCTCGATTAATTTAATTAATCTCCCGCCGATCCGCCCTTAAACGCCAATTAATAATTACCCACTTTTAATCGTCCCGTTCGCATCAGCCAAGAGGCCCAAGACGCTTTTTACTTTGACCGTGGACGCGGCAGCAGGGGATCAGTGCTCGCGCCGCGCTGGGGCGGGGGAATCTCCGGTTCCGCCCGAAGAGGACAAAGCGAGGCCGCGGCCGCACGGAGGAGGGTCCGCCCCACCCACGTCCGTCCGAGCAACGGCTACTTCCCCCCTCCCCGGTTGCCGGTCACCCCCGGTGGGCCCCACCACCCACCCAAACGGTCGCATTTCCCTCCGCCCTTTTCCGTCGTCTTCTTCCCCGTTAACCGCTTTATATTCATCCGTCACCCTTTCTCTCTCTACACCCTTTCATTCACTCTCTCTCTCTCTGACATTTTCAGTGATTTGCAGTCGTCTTGCATTTCGGGTTTGATTTTCTCGAGCACCCAAGATGCGTGGATTCGTCGCGGAGTTTGCGATCCTGGCGCTCCTCTTGTTGAATCTCTCGTGCCCGGCGCGATCCGCCGGCGATGCGCCTTCCCCGTCGCCTTCGTCGCCCAAATCGTCGGCGCCGCCGCCGACGAGCACGGCCGCTCCTCCGACGAGTTCTCTCGCTCCTCCGACGAGTTCTGTCGCTCCTCCTGCCAAGTCTCCAGCGGCGGCAGCGCCGACAACTTCCTCCCCGCCCGCGTCTGCTCCGAAAGTTTCTCCGGCGATGCCGACCGCTCCTTCGGTTCCACCCTCCACGTCCCCGGCCGCCGCCGCTCCTCCATCCGGCGCGCCTGCTCCGGTTCAGTCTCCGGCCGCTGCTCCTCCGACGCCTCAGGCACCGGCTGCAGCGCCGGTGAGCGCTCCTACCGCGACCCCGGCGAGCGCTCCTACCGCGGCGCCAGCCGTTTCTCCGGCATCAGCGCCGGTCAGTTCTCCACCAGTCGCGGAAGTACCAGCGAGCGCCGCTACTCCCGGGGCGGCCAGCATCCCTTCAAGTTCGGCGACGCCTGCGGAGTCCCCCTCGATATTCCCGAGCACCGGAAGCCCGCCGAGCCCGACGCCGGAGACCATATCGCCCGACACCGCGGCGAGCCCGGTGAACGACGATTCCGGCTCGAGTTCAACCCGAGCCATGGTGATTTTGAGCGGATTGGCCGTGTGGACCGCCATGGCTATCTAGAGGAAGGAGCTAAGTTAATAATTAGTAACTTTTCCCACATTATTGTTCATATCGTACGTTGGTTGTCGGAATTAACGATTGTGATTGTAGTGGAGCTGCTTGTTTGTATTTACATTGTTAAATAAGCATCCTCGTTTTGATGGAGGCTGTGTCTTTGATGCGTTCTTTGATTTGTGTGTTACTTACCTAATCCACGGATCTAGTGCTAATCCACGATACTAACCTCAAATCTGAGTAGTAGGATAAGAAAGTGGTGAAGTATGAAATTAATAATTATTGAAAGCATGATAAAACTATGTCCTTTGTTGTCATTTCACAATTCGGTACATAGGTGATTTTGGAAAGTAAAATGACAGTTTTGATATATATATATATATATATTTATCTCAATTTGTGCGTAATTTTTTCTTTCGAAATAAATAAGATTTTAGCAATGAAGTTTGATGTAACTTGTGTTTCACATGTCCTTAGATACATGCAAATTGCCCTCGTTTTATGTGCATCGACTGATGCTTCGATTGTTCTCAAATCACCCTCAATGGGATACATTGTTATTTGGAAAAGAAAAGCGAAATACGACAGCAAAACTAAGTTCTTAACCACTCGATTTCATTCCGAAGTATTTTTCTGATACGTTATCTACAATGATTTGCACTAATTTATACTCACTCCGTATTCATTTATCATGCAAGATCTCATCCGACAAACAATTTCGTAATCTATCATGTTGGATTACCCCGAGCTGCCTCCGAGTTACATCGGATGCAACTTTTGTTGTATAGGAAAAGAAATTTGGTTTGCTATTATCTAAATTTCCTAGCAAAAGATGAACCTAGCATCCTTTTATATGATATTTACTCCAACGTCGTGGTTATCGAAATTTGAATTCACAAAGGCTCTGTAAAAATTGCTGTATCATCTCGGTAGCATCACAGATAAAGTCAAATACATTTTGATTACGAATGAGATTCTTATATGATATTTACTCTATCGAAACCCAAATTAAAAAAGGCTCCGTAAAAATCGCAGTATCATCTTGAAATCTTTAGTAGGAAGGAGGTTCTTTCAAACCTTTCCTTAAATTAGGCTCGGACACCACCTCATCACCCCCTACAAACAAGATCAATGGAGCTGCATTTGCACGGCTCATGTAAAATAACTTCAGAGAATGAATCGAATTCGCTATGCTTAACTTGAAATGATTTTCAATCCTCAATACATACGACAGCACAAAAACATCTTCCATGTGAAAAGACCTACCGTTCGAGTCCGTATAGCCCTAATATAAATAATACGATAAACGGTTCATCATAACTAATACAAAAGTTTAGTTAACTAGTAGATTAAATTGATAAAACGAAACTATAAATCTTTTAAAATTCGAACAAATCCTTTGATTTTCACAACACCCTATCCTTAAATTTTGGGTTGTCACCCAATTAAGCTCGGCCCATCCAAAGGGTCCAATCCACAATTAAAAAAAAAATCAGAAACCATGCCGATAATAAATAAACAAAAATATCAGAAACCAGAAAAATCTCCCACAATCTTTTTGGCGCTGCGTAAGAAATTTCTTCGGCTCAAAAAATCCAAAATCCTTTCGAAAATTCAGCCATGACCATCTCCTATCTCCTCTCGCCATTGACGCCGCCCTGCAAGCCGTTCCTCGCCTACCCCCATCTCGGGCACCCGCCGCCCACCGCCGCCCTCGCCTCGGCAAGGCCACGGCGGCCCGTCGCCGTCCGGTCCAAGAACGGCGACTCCGCCGACGCGCCCGACCGGCTGATCTCCGCCGTCTGCTACTTCTACCCTTTCTTCGACGGCGTCCAGTACGGCAAGTACGTCATCAACCAGTTCGCCCCGCTTCAGTCCCTCGTCCAGCCCCTCGTCCCGGCCATCAGGGTGTTCAAGGGCTTCCCTCTGAACGGGTTCTTGGTGTTCTTGACGCTCTACTTCGTGGTGGTGCGGAACCCCAACTTCAGCCGCTACGTCAGGTTCAACACCATGCAGGCGATTGTGCTCGATGTGTTGCTGATTTTCCCCGACTTGCTGGAGAGGAGCTTCAACCCGCGGGATGGGTTGGGGTTGGACTTGATGATGAGCTTGGACAGCACTGTGTTCTTGTTCCTCCTCGTTTGCTTGATTTATGGGTCGTCCTCTTGCTTGCTGGGCCAGATTCCGAGATTGCCCATTGTTGCCGAGGCTGCCGAGAGGCAAGTTCTTTGAAGATTTGGTCGATTAATTATCGATGATTATTTTACGCCCCAATTGTAATTTGCGCGATACATTTCGTGATGGTGTTGTGTATTAGTTTACTGAGTTACTTGTTCCTGATAGGAAGAAGCTCATACAGCTGAATTTTGTGATTGCTTGTCTGATATGAAATAGATAGCGCAATTCGAGCCCGGGTAACCATTTTTTGACTCGTTCTCATAGTTATCTTATCTGATGTAGTTGCAAAGTTAAATACAGAATTTTGGAATGTTCAATCAAGTCTCCAATCTATTTAGCTGAAGGTCCAAGCATTTATTTTCTTTATGGTGTCTATGGCTTTTTGACCGTTTGAGGCTGGAAGAGTGGTTTGTTAACTACTTTGAACTTCAACTGGGAAAAATTATAGAAGAATGTTCATCGTTTGTGGTCTGCGTGGATTCTCTATTTTTTAGGTTCTTTGCTTATAAGCTAGAAGAGTGCTATACATGATCCATTGAAATCAAGCCTTGTGGTTGCACTCAAGTCAAGGCTGGATGTCTATGCTTATTCAATATATATGAATGGTTGAAGCTTAAATAGAGGCTGCTTATTCCGCGGACATGCCACTGAACGGTGTCATGGATGAAATGAGAATATCTCGACACGTTGACATATACTCAGACTCGCTTTGTCAGGTTGCCTTCGCAAGTGTGTCAGTATTGTCTCCTGAACTATGCATTGTTTGTTGTTGGATTGCGACTGGTTGGGTTACTGCAATTGAGGTTAGAATAAATTCCATGCCGTCTTAGATATTCATGTATTTGCTCGTGTCTGATAAAACCTACAAGTCCTCCCGCCATCTTGGTTGAATTAACACTTTTAAGTGTGGTTCAGCTCGGAGGCAGCTGGGTAGCCCAGGACGTAGATTAACTTGGCATTCTCTTAATTGTTGGAGTGATTCGTGATCTCAGATGAGTAGATTTATGTTTTCTAGACTGAAATGTCTGTCCCGGACTCCATTGATTGCTGGATGTTCCGTGACACATGCAAAGGTAACCTCATATTTACCAATACAGATTAGAACTGTGAACTGGTCTCTGACTGGATGTAGGGTATGAGTTCGGAACAATGACAAACTGAAGCTGGATCTTATCACCTTTTCGAATGGTCGATTAGGTAGTCTCACTTTTAGCTTTTTACTGGAGATTAATGCTTTTCATAGACCAATAAAGCTCAAGGCTGATGGCTTTGCTGCAAGTTAGAATGGTGGAAAATGAGACAGTAAAGGGGCTTGAACTGCTCAGACTAAAATAGCAATTTGAAGACGCATCGCGAGCGTGAGATTATGAAGAATCCCTGAAAGGGAGGTAAAATTTCAGGATTAGCATGATGCGGGTTTCGTTAACGATGATTCAGATTTGGGGTAATCTGGGATGAACTAAACTTTTCAAGAATCATAAGTTGTTTTTTTTTTTCTGCCTTTGGCCATCAAGCCCTTTGGCTGCGCTAGTTTCGAATAGCGGAAGCAAGCAGTTGGGGGAATGGAAGTCGTAGCATGTGAATTTGCCTGTCTGTGTTCAAGAACGGTGATGATGAAATGAATGTCGTTCTCATAATCATGTATTGTGATTAGAACTTCTCTTGTTTACGCTTTGACACTGAAAGTCGTTTTTCAGAAAACTCTCATAATTCCGGATTCTCCTCTATCATCACCACTGACCGATGACACCACTGTTGTGAGGGTGACTTCGCCATCAGCGACCCTCACCAGCTTCCGCCTTTGTCGGTCACCAGGGCCCTTATCTGTCGGCCATCCCTCCCAAAACTCATTTGAAAATTATTCAAAAAAGTCCCAAATCTATTATATGACGATGAATTCAGTCTTAAATATTTCAATTATGCCAATCTAGTTCCAAACCTTTTGAAAATTTGTCAATTTAGTTCTAAATCTTTCAATTATGCCAATTAAGTTTTAAATCATCTAACGATTTGCTAATCTTCCTCATACCGACCCTTTATCTTCAAAAGCGCCTTTCTCTTGCGTTCCCTCCAACGGTCTCCTCCACGGGAGGGTCTGGCAGCGACGGAGGAGGAGGAGGCACCGTCGCAGAGGGGTAGAGACGCCACTTCTTGCGCTTGTAAATGAAGCCGTCGTCGTTGCAAAGCTCCCACTCGTTCTCGACTTCAACTGGTGATGGGGTTGCCAAGCCCTAATCCTTCACAAACCTTGATCCATTTTCCCACCTAGGAACTAGTTGGACTGATCGGTTCGATCCGATTCCAGGATCAGATGGTTTGGTTCTTGGTTCTACAAACTGGGAATGGGCCCCGTTGGTCCGGTTCCCAATTTCTGGGTAGGAATCGGGCCGCCCAAAAACCGATTACCCCAAGGTTTAGCTACCCATTTGGGGCTTATAATGAGGGCTTCACATTTGCTATAGAATATTTGGTTTGAGTCATGCTACTCAACCTATTCATAAGCATACGAGTCCATTACTATAGTTTCAAGTTTCTCCATATGAGATACCAAATGCTTAAGGCATAAGTTGGTTAGAAGTTCGGCTCAAACTTGGGGAAAATTATTCAAAAAGTTCTAAACTTATTGCACTTTTGCCAATTCATTTATAAACTTTTTAATTTTGCCAATTGAGTTCTAAACATTTTCAAGTTTTGCCAATTGAATTTCAAACTGAAAATTGCTAACGTGGACGATTGCCCTACTTGGCATGTCCAGACGTGGGCGGCGACGCCGATGTGAATAGATTTTAATAAATTTTTAATAATTTTCTTTTTTTTTTTGTTTTTTTGGTTGAAAGGGTGCCAACCTGTGCCAGCCATTGGGTGAGGGCTTTGTAGCCCTCGTCGACCGAGGGCAAGGGTTCATGGCCCTTGCTATGGTCGGCGAGGGTGTTGTGAGCCTTTGCCGTGGCTTGTGAGGGGTTGTGGCCCCTTGCTGGCCTCAGTGAGGGGTTGGTACCCTTCGCCTTGCCAGATCTAGCGAGGGCCACAGCCCTCGCCCCCCGAGGATTTGTGGCCCTTTGAACCAAAAAAGAAAAACAAAAGAAAAGAAAAGAAAGAAAAAGGAAAAATAAAAAAATAATTAAAATTTATCCAGCCACCGTCGCATACGGCTACGTGACTATCGACGCCCACGTCCGGCTTTCCAATCGAAATCGAATGGATTTAACTCAATTGATAAAATATAAAAATGTTTATGATTTAATTAACGAAATTAAAATATTGAACACTGAATTGATAAAAATATAATAAATTAATAATTTTTTTGGACAACTTTTCCCTCCAACTTGTGATCTTATGAAAAAATCGTGATCCTTTTATCGCTAAGTTATCGCGCACGGGGGTTCTCCCTCCCGAGTCCCGACAATATCAGGGAAGAAGTGGGCCTCAAATCGAAAATGGTCGGAGGCAATTGAATGGCCACGTACGAACATGGCGAGCACGAGAGGACATGTGATGACATTGTACTAACATTGTTTGCTATAATTATATCAGCAAAAGTAAGCCTGAAATTATTGTTTCCAGGGGCGTCCAAACGTGGGGATCCCAGCTTGTTTGGTTTTATTCTTTACTTGGGAGACCTCTTCTTCCATAACGAAAGCTATCCTTCTTAACTAAAAGATTCTCTACACTTAGCTTTGCTTTTGGGCTACTGCTATGAGTCTAAAACAAGGCTGATTGGGCCACCAACTAGCGAAGCTCTTAAAGAGTGATAAAATAAAATGAAAAATGGATAATACCACAAATGATTTATGAACTTTGATTTAACGTGCAATGTAATTCCTAAACTCTACTTTAATGGGTAATATGATCCATGAACTTTTAATTCGTTCAATATGATCCCTGGACTTATAGTACATGTTCAATTTAATCATTGAATTTTACGAAAATGTTCAATATTATATTTTAATTAATTCAAGTTTAGAGATAATATTAAATATTTTTACAAATCATGAATCATATTAAATAAATTAAAAGTTTATGGATCACTTTTTACATTGAGTAAAGTTTAAGGATTACGGCGCACGTTATGTCAAAGTTCGGATGCCATTTATGTAATTTTCCTTACAGAAAAAGGGAGAAGAAGAAGAGAGCAGTAGAGAAAAAGGAAGAGAACAGCTGACAACCTTTCGATGCAAATTGGTAAATTCACAATTTGTGGGCCGTAAGTCGTGCTTTAGAGCTTGACAAAGACAAAAAAAACTGGACCTTTGGAGGTTGTCGTTTTCCCTAATTTCGGTGGAATCATTCCCTGACATTTAATTTTGATTTAATCTTCGGACAGCCTTAATGCTGTCCAGTTCATTAACTCCAGATAAACCTTAACCCGATCGCCCCCCCCTCCAAAAGAAAAAACCAATGGAAAATATAAAAAGAAATTGTTGGGTACATTTTCTTCTCGAAAAGTAATACGTATAACGCCTTCTGGTCGGAGTAGATTACGCATGAAATCGCGGGCGTTCTCTTCTGTTTTGACTTTGAATAAATGGCGCGATCGGAAAATTTTCAGTTCGAGTGTCGAGAATGATCTCACGAACTGTGCACAAACTGCTCCAGATCACACGCTTACATGCAAAGTCAATCAATTCGTAGAGCTTCCGCTATCTAGACCCATGTGTTCTATTTGGATTAGAAGTGTACAAAGGCGTGGTTGTCAAAGTGTTCCACGATGAGGAAAAAAAAAAACTGTAGATCGGTCTGAATTGACCCATCAATGGCCTGACCTAAAAGGGCTAGTGGTGGCTCTTGTCCCATAAGTCCGAAAACTGATTACATCTTTTTAAGTAACAAAATATTCCGCAATGTACGTAGCATCCCCATTTTTTTTTTTTGTCTCGTCCCCAGCCTCAATTTCTCGATCCGCCATCAGGTCCGAGAGAGGCCTGTTTGGTTCGAGCTTTGGAAAGCTTTGGCCAAATGCAAAGACATTTAGCACAAGACTTTGGAAATGCGGATGTTTAGCAAACATCCATGAAAAGTGCTTTGGAAATGCAAGTTATTTGGTAAACATATATTTGAAAAGTCTTTTGGTGTAACCAATTTATGTTTTTTTAAATTTAATTGTTTAAAATTGAAGTAAAAAAAATAATGACGGTAACTTTTATATTTTCGCGACGAGAATAACATAATAGAAATATATTCACAAATTTTAAAAAAAAGGAGTCATTTCATTATAATACACATACATGTCCCTAAGAATGAAATACATTAATCCCCTCATTTACATCATCATGATCAACTGAATATCCATTATCGGGATCCAATTCTGCATTTTCAAAATCCGTATCGATCACGACATTTCTT